CAATTTCATTCATATAATTTATTAACTGTTTTCTAAAATCTTTATTATCTTTTAAACATTCCTGAAGCTTAACCAGATTAAGAGCTCCTTTAAGCCAAACTAACATATGGCAGTGGGGTGTACTACAATCTTGATATTCAACTACTGCATAGTAATTATTAATATCACCAAACACACCCCCATTTGGTTTTTTATAACCAACTATAAATTTAATTATATTTTTTATAATAACATCAAAATACTTTGCCACTGCAGTTGGGTCAAGATGGGCCAGTTTTGCCATTTCTGTCACTGTTGGAAAATTATTAAGAATTAAAGAATTAATATCAATTTCTCTCCCTGCATATAGCATCACAATTGGGCTATGAAGATCAGCTGGATTAATAGTAATAAACAATAATGACAAACTATCTCGCATAGTTAGAGCACAAAGTTTATTGTGAAGATAACTATGAAACTGATATGAATCTATAACTTTCTCTCCAAAGGTATTGATATTCTTTAGTAACTCAAGTATAGCAAGATTTGTTATTGGTTGTTTGCTATGTTCTTGTTTGAATGCCAATTCTATATCTTACAGTGTTAGTTGTGAAATTAATTCAGCTGACCTTTCAAAAGTTATCTGCTTTGTTATCAAATACATTCCTATTGCAGTTTCTCTTCTCTGCAGAATATTAAATATTACAAAAATAAATGATCGATGATACCTAAATCTCAGATTATAAAGATGTAACAAGTGATTGATATATTGTTTAAATAGTATATGCTGCTTGTGAAATTTGTTCTCTTGTCCACCAATCCTATAAGTAAATAAGACAGGAAATGCAGCTAGTAAAAGTATCAGATCTATATATTCATTTCTTGAATTATTTGAGTATAGTATTAAAATTGTTCTTGCGTAACTATTTTTAATACTTTTTGATTCATTAATCATTTTCTCAAGCATCTCTAAAGTACAACTTTTTTCTGTAATAGAAATATTATCTATGCATGCTATATCCGAACTTCTCAATTCTTCATTACCACTAGTAAAATTATACTTATTATGTTCTAGCACTTCTCTATCAATATCCAATTCTTCATTTTCTAGATTATAAGAATCATTATCAATTGGATCAGTAACATATCTAGTATAATGCTCTATTTTCTTTAGATTAATATCAACAATTATAGTAGTTGCCATCAAAGCCATTGAAACTCCATTATCTAATAAGGAATTCAATATTATTTTATCGATTTTAATTTTTTCATATAGGATATTATGCTCTATCAACTATTCTAAAGCCTCAGTAACCTTATTTTTTTTTACATATAATATTTTTTTTAGTTGTATTTTTGATGGCTAATTTTGACCAACAAATACTACTTTCAAGTAATCAATAAATGATATATAGGTAAAAGCAAAATAGTAGTGAGTAATAACGGGTTTTGAGTAAATATAATTATATGTCCTTTCAATTTATGATGCATATGTCATTAATTGGTAAGTTGAATAAGATTTATACACAGATATCCTGTGGAAATTAGAAGTTGCTTTGGAATTGTTAACCCTGAAGACATGGCAGAACTGTATCCATCCACATATTAATTAAGGATAATAATGAAGCTTTACCTGTATTTAATGATCTCTTATATTCTAAATGTACACAAAGATCAAATGGATCCTTATTTCTTGACATATTTTTCTAATAAATTCATTCCTATCCAACAGAACTTTTATATCTACTTTTATCAATCCATAGATATCTATAGTTAAAGTTTATATCAGAAAGTAATATTACAAGTTTCTAATCAACTTCAAGTACTGACAAATTTATTTCTTTTACAGAAATTCTAGCTCAATATTCTGACAAAAATATCTCAGAACAA